TTCCCCCACCCCCTCTCCCTTCTAAGAAGCAGAGTTTCTGGCAGAGGCGGGGACGCCGCGCCGGGAGCGCGGGCAGTTCTGGGAGGCCGAGCGGGACGGGCTCCCGGGTCCCCTTCCCTTTTCTCGGACCCCGCGAAGACATCCCCCCGCCCCCACCAGGCCGGCCCGAGCTCCGATCGCCGCCCCAGGCGTCCTGGGCCGGCCGACGGGGAACTGAGAACACCCCACGGCCAGGCTGTGGGCTGGGGTCGGTCCTGGGAGCTGGGGGGGTGGGGGACGCGCTACCGTTACCTGGGGGCACGTCCACTAGGCGAGGCCGGGGGCCCCAGGGGTTGAGGGGGCTCAGCCTGCGTGGCAGCTGCCCGGCCTCCTCCCATCGGCACTGCCAGGTTCTTTGCCGACAGACACGAGTGTCACCCCCCCCCCCCAAAAAAAAAAGCCGCTTCCACTTATCTCGTTCTCCTGACCTGCGCGGTCCCGTGTGGGTCCGGCCAGGTGCTCGGCGCCGCGGGCCGCGAGAGGGTGAGCGTAGCCCCGCTAGAGGGCGCTCCGCTCCCCGTAGACCGAGAGAAGTGTGGGGCTGCGCGCCCCAGCTCTGGAATTGGAACAGAGGGGACGGCGGGTATGGCTGGCTCAGGAGCTGCGCTACGGGCCGAGGGCCTGAAGACCAGGAATGCACATTCGTCTGGGGGTCAAACCTGGGAATAAAACTCCAGCAGGGTAGCGTTTCCAGAAAGCAGTTTTCAGGGGTTCAGCCCCCTTCAGATGACCCAGGCCCCCTTGAATGTGGTGGTCTAATCACACCCAAAGCAGCCTTGGTAGCGCAGTGGTTAAGCGCTGGGCTGCTAACCGAAAGATTGCTGGTTTGAACCCACCCAGAGGCTCCGCGAGAGAAAGACCCGGCGATCAGCTCCCATAAAGATCACAGCTAGGAAATCCTATGGGGCAGTTCTACTGTGTTCTATAGGTTTGCTCTGACTTGGAACTACGTGGATGGCAATGGGTTTGGTTTGGAATCATTCCCAGGAGGCGAGAAGGGAGGTGATTGAGGTGAAAGATTGCTTTCCTCTTGGTCACGTTGGCAACGATTGGTTGATTTGGGCTTGGAGAACCCACGACCAGCCTTATGAAGGATGGAGAGCTTTGCAATCTGTCTCCCAAACAGGCAGCAGTGTGCTGGGGACACCTGAGAGCCAGCTAGGTGGCTCTGGGCTGGGTGCCTCTCAGGGTGCAGCAGCTATGGGCTATGGGTAGTGCCTTGCTCTCTCCTCAGAGCCACAGAGCTGAGGATAATGCAGGCGGCAACGCTGGCAACAGGGAGCTGGGGTTCTAGACTCACTCGGAGACCTGCTCCTTCCCTTGCGTCTTGGGGAGCTGGTAGGCACCTCATGCCCTTTGCCACTGTGTCCTCAATCTACCGTTCACCCTCTTCCCAGAGATGATGGGTGACTCACTGGGATTTGGACAGGACACCCCGCCTCTTTGGGCTTCAGTTTTGCCCTCTGTGAAACAGGAATAATAACCTTTTCCCATCAGAGATCTGAGATTAAAAAAAAAAAAAATTCTACGACTCAGAGTGTAACAGAAACAGAAGTAAGTCAGTCCATTTCTCCCTTTGGACTCTACCAGGAAAGCAGAAGTAAGGAGGAAGTCTTCCTGTCGACTTCTGCAGAGGGGGAAATTGGTTTCTCCAACATATTCTGCAAATATTTATTGGGCTCTAACTGTGTAACAGGAGTCCCTGGGAGGTGCAAATGTTTACGCACTTGACTGCTAGTCCAAAGGTTGGCGGTTCGAACCCACCCAAGGGCACCTTGGAAGACAGGCTTGGAGATCTGCTTCCAAAAGTTCACAGCCTTGAAAACCCTATGTAACAGTGGCGCTGGCTTACAAACAGAAAGGTGGGATGTTCGAAGCCACCCAGGGGCACCTTAGAAGAAAGTCCTGACAATCTGCTTCTGAAAGATCACAGCCACTGAAAACCCTATGGAGCGCACTTCTACTCTGACACACGTGAGGTCGCCATGAGTTGGAGCTGATGGCAACTCTTTCTTTTTTAACTATGTAGCAGGCATTGGGCTGAGTGTTGAGAAATGAGGATGAATAAGACCCAGTCTTTGCCCTCAAAACGCTTGCAGTCTCAGGGAATGGACTCTCCTTCCCTCCCTGGTCAGGAGTTGAGGGTGGCCTGTCCAAGTCTTTCCTGCGTATTGAGTCTTAGGAGGCTGCCCCGTGACAGTCCACTTCTGTGTTGAGCTGCGTGGGGGACCAGGAAGACGCATAAGGAATAGCCCTGGAGTTAATGGATGTGAAAGTGCTTTGTAAATTACACTGCTCTGACATAGTCGGGTTCATTCACCCAATCCACAGGCCTTCATTGAGTGCAGCCTCTGCCAGGCACCGACTGGAGTGCTGGGAAGACAGTGCCCAGAGAATCCTGCAGGGAACCAGCCACAGAAACGAACCACGGAAACACAAAGCAATGAGTGCCGCTAGAAAGGGCGTGGTTGTGATTACCCGGCCATGAGGGTTACAGTTCTATGAGAGTTCATTTTGGGGGTGGGGGTGGGGGTGTTGATGGGGCTTAAGGAGGCTGGTGGAGCAGAGGTCAAGTGCTCAGCTGCTAACCGAAAGATCAGTGGTTCGAACTCACCAGCCACTCGCTCCACGGGAGAAAGATGTGGCAGTCTGCTTCGGTAAAGATTTACAGCCTTGGAAACCCTATGGGGTCACTATGAGTCGGAATTTGACTGTCAGCAATGAGTGGGTTGATGGGGCCAATCAGGAGAAACAGCCCTGGAGCTCCGGGAATCCCAGTCTGGTTGGGGAGAATGGACCTCCGAAACAGGAGAATCCCAACGCCAACCTCATGGTGCCTAAGTGAGCCTGCGCTCCAGGAGGGGGCAGATGAAGACCTGTGTGTTTGGCAGGGAGCTTCGAGTGGGCCCCAGGGAGTACAGAGGAGGGGCAGGGCCAGCAGGCATGCCCAGGCTGCTGCGAGGGACTGCCCTGGCTGGAGAAGTTCCCTTTCCAGAAGGTCAGGGCTTGTGGTGGAGAGGTAGGCTGGGACCAGAACGTGGGCGGATCCTTGCACACTGACTCAGAATACTGAACTGCTATCTGGGCTCCACTACCCCATAGCTGTGTTCTGTCGCCAGCTGTGCCTCAGTTTCCTTGTTTGTAAAACGGGCAGATAACAGTGCCTACCCTCCTAGGATCATGAGCACTAATGAATTAATCTACCCAAAATGCTTAGAGTGGTGCCTAGCACGTACTAAGTGCTCAATGAATTTTAGCTTTCTTTGTTATTATGTTGAAAGCTCTAAGGAGTCTTTCAGAAACCCTGGTGGCATAGTGGTTAACTGCTACGGCTGCTAACCAGAAGGTTGGTAGTTCTAATCCACCAGGCGCTCCTTGGAAACTCTATGGGACGGCTGTACTCCGTCTTATATAGGGTCGCTATGAGTCGGAATGGACTCAATGGCAATGGGTTTGGTTTTTTTTGGAAGGAGTCCTTGTGGGGAGAAGAGAGAGCTGGGTCACAGCAGCTTGGACAGTGAGGTGTGGATGTGGCCGTGAATGGCTTTGTGTCGTGGGGAACTGAGCGTCTTACATATAAGAAACATTCCAAAAGACTGCATGTCTTCAAACAGTCCTGCCAGCCAGCCGCCAGGCTTCCCTTTGACTTTCTAATCTCTTCAGAGGTTCCCGTTGCCTTCCGGATGAATCCAAAGTTCTCAGCGTGGATTGTGTCCAAGGCTCACTGCTCCATCACTGGCTTCATCGGCTGCCACCTCCCCCCCCAACCTTAGGCTCCAGCAATCTGGACCCCAGGCTGGCTCCACAGGGTACCTACCACCTTCCCCAGCCTGGGTCTTTCCACATTCACGTCCCTCTGGGTGGGACTGCTTTCCACTCCTTGGCTGAGTTCTACTATAAATTCCACAGAGAACTGGCGACCCCCAGGTAGCTCTTATTGCCTTAGATTACATTTTCTGATGAATTGTCTGGTGGCAACCTTGAGGGCAGGGAGCTTTTTTTTCTTTCTTTGTAACCCTGGGACCTAATGCCTACAAAGCGTGCTCAGCAGATCCTTACTTTTTAAAGAAAGGATTATGTGGATTTCCATTTTTGATCACTTTTAGATAATGCAGCCTGATTTCTTCTAGACTAGCTTCTGGTTTCTTCCTCCCGCCGGGGCTCAGGGGCGCCAGTCTAGATGGCATGCAGGGCGTGGGTGCTGGGAAGCCCGATGGGATTATTGGGCCTGCTAATCTGAAGACCGAGGGAGCGAGGAGGCAATGTCGCTGGGAAGTGGGGAGGAGACACTTGGGCTCCTATAGGGCACTCTTCCAGGGACCCGAGACCACCCCCTCCCAGCAGAGAGACGCCAGAATCAGGACAAAGCTGAGGGTTTGCTGTCTCTCTTCTTTATCTGCTGGGTCTGGCCCCTCTGCCCCACCCTGCTGTTTTCCTGTCTAAGGGATTTAGAAGACTCGCACCTTTTCCCAATCTCTCCCTT